CGTCGGCAGACAATATTAAAGCCGAAGGAATAGGGATAATGTCGTGAGACGACGAATCCTGCGGGGGAAGTCGCCGTCGTTGCTTTTGTGGCGCGTGATTGTCGAGTGACTTAGTCGATTGAGCCGAGATCGAGAGATTTTTGGATTTTTGGATTTTTCGACACTCCTCGTAATATTCGAGTATTTTGTTCTGTCGATACATCCTTCTTCTCAGTTGAAATTTACAATGATCATTCAATGATTTGCTTTGGATTGCTGTGAAATTACCGTTTCGCCTTATCGATTCCACAATTTCATAAGAGTTTTTGGGCCACTCGATTAATATAACGACACCGCGGTCGTGCATTAAACACAATAATGCCTGTACATACGAAATAATAAGAATAAAAAACTAGTATCTTATCCATATGATAAACTGATGTACTCGAGGTTATTCGTTAAATGTCGATTGAATGAAATTTTGTTAGATTTGTATGAGATGGAGAGACACACAGACAGTTTGGTAATTGTTGGTGGACGATTGGCGTAACGAGACGCGCCATTGGATTCGAAGGACCTAGTATTTAATATTAAGCCTTAAAGGACATAATAAGCAAACTGAAATTTCGAGTATATTCGTAATATTAATTGTTTACGTAATTCATGTTTGTCGCGATACCGTTAGCCCTTGTCCGATGATTTCCTGGCCGAGGAAATCAAAGAAAATCCGAGCAGACTAGAGATGAACCAGAGAGCCTACGTAACGTGGATATTAAAATGCCTATAGTTGGCAGCTAATATTTTTAGATATTATGTCTTGTGCTAGAGTGTGCGTGAGAGTATCGTATATCATTGGCCAAATGAATTGGCCTACGATTTCCGTAAGAATTTTCAATTTCCTAGTCGTGATTGATTCGCGGCCGTATTGCCGTATCCCCCAAAGCGTCATATCGATCTCTTCCGTAAAATTTCATATTCAACAGATATTAAAGCGACAATTGATAAATTCTTGGCTATCGTAATAACACGTTGGCGTACCTTCGACAATCATCGACAATTATCGACACAAAGGAGTTGATTTTCGGGCTCCGTAATTCCGAACAATGCCAACCACCAATTGCTTAAAAATTCCAACTCCAACAAGGTTATGCAGCCATATTGTTATATTGGCCAACTTTTGCATCTGAACGAGGCTATGTTTTTTAATTTCGTTAAAAGAAAATCGTTGGAAGAGTTCGCCACGTCGAGTTGCGAACGTCGGGCTAATATTTCCAACGGATTTTTCTATTTGGCGGTAAATTGCGCAGGGGAGCCAGGATGGTGATTATTTTCTTATTTTAACGTGGCAATGCGAGCACAGAAATGACGTCTATCGATACTCTCGATTTTGATGCCCACGACGAGAGCCTTGTTAATATCAAAATCCGCGACGCTCCGGTGTACAAGCAAAACAACAACAACAACAACAAACAATCAATCAAAAATAAATAACCAACAAAGATAAATACAAAAAATCGACGTAATTTTCTGCATCGATACGAATTTATTGATGCCCCAAGAGCACCAGCTGTGAGCATCGAAAGGCCGGAAATTCGCGCAAAGATCATAGGGCTTTGTTTCCCGTGGCTAACGAGATTGAAAAAAAAAAAAAAATCTCTCTCATCGTCCCGCACTTTTCCACCCGTTTTTCCACGCGTGGGGTTACTAGCCGGCTTATCGTATCCCTTGGCCCAGCGAGGGAAATGAACGACAGTGGGCGAGGATCACCGATCCCTAATGACTCCGGAAGTCTTCCCACGTGGGCGTATTTCTAATCGTCGAGCTCGTCCGAGACGAAGATCGAGCAACGTTCGGAGTTTGATTAAAACGACGCCTCCTCCCCCTCCCGCTCCGATATTCAAATGCAATTATCGTGGAACATTATTTTTCTCAAACGCGTAATTTACTGTTGTAGTGCGGATTTGATAACGCGAGTTGTCGCTATTTCCGACATAAATATCATTGCGTTTCTGGTGTGACGTGATGCCAACGTACAATGTAGGCCGACGGCACACAAAGGTCGCGTGCGTGTACGGATATTCCATGTTTACGGGATATGACGAAGACATTGGAAATGCCATATTACTCGATCGATCGAAGAAAGTGCGTTTATCTGTAAACAAATGGCGCGCGCTAAGAATTTGCATATTTTATTGGATAATGTTTGGAAGAGTGGGAGAGTCGGTTGTTTTATTTGGCAGGCGCCGGTCCGACATAAAACATCGGCTCTCTTTATTTTCATTCTTTTCCCACGGAATTAGATCACTCAAGTTTCTTTATAGTCATAGTTCAACAAATTAACGAATTTTAAAGCCAAATAATCCTTCCCTTCCCTTTCTCGTCGAGCATCCAATTAACCTACGAACATTGCTAATTTCACAGTTTAACAAAACAAGTCATTTATTTACATTTATTTATTAACGGTATCTTCGCGCATCCCACGTGAAGCCCGAATTGCCTTCGAGTCAAACACGCTCGAATATTTTTACAATTTACAAGCTTATTTTTTCTTCGGTTATTATAGCCGCGTATACGTTTGCATTTCATTAATGCAATATTCTGAGTAAATTCGGCGATCTCAGCATGAAATATGATGATATATTCTTTATTTTACAATAATGTCGCATTATCTGCGCCCGTATGTATAATTACGACTCTACGTAGAGCAGTGGTTAATCCCTTATTTTTATTTCCAACTTAAATTCTTTGTAGCCTCGCAAGTCCCCGTTAAACCCCAATACTCCTCTCAACCCGTCGTACATCGCAATTGGCCGTAAGGTGTAATGCTTTTTTGTCCTGTTTTCGTTACGGACAACAAAAAGCAGCATCGTTTATTTGAAGAGCCACGCCGCTTAAGCGACAGTACACATTGAAACGTTTACGAGTCCACCGGAATACGATTAATGCGACGCACTACTCACTCGTCGAACTGTTACGCACGTGGCGTTTCAATTCCAACATTCGTCCCGATACTTCTGGATTTTTCCATTTGTTTACGCAATCTCAAGCACGACTCACAAACGTACGACTCATCCACTGGCTCTCATCCAATGTCCCCCACCCGCCCCCCTTTACACGTAATAATTCAATAACGTCGTTTAAGAATAATTGTCAACATCAACATTAGGCTATGCCGATGATTTTCCATACTCCAAATTCAACAAAAAAAAAAAAAAAAAAAACAAAAAAAAATCCAGCTCCCACGGAGCACCATCAATTCCATCAAATCAACTAAATCAACTAACTTTCTACTAAATTAATGGTTAATTTGATTTGTCGGTGAGAAATTTTTCTTCCCGATTCGAACAATCCGAGTCACCGCTGATCTGCGGGCCTCGTCAATAAAAGAGCACAAAGAGAGAGAGAGAGAGCACAGAGAGAGAGAGAGAGAGAGAGAGAGAGAGAAATCGATTGTCCGATGAATTCGAGTCACTTCAGCGCCGATTTTGTTAATGCCAGGCATTATCTGACTCGTTAAATTGCCCATAAAAATTATCAACCTCAAGATTTTATTACATAAACGCTTGTAAATATGATCCCCGAGAATGGCGTATTGCATCAACATTTATCCTCGTACGCGCTCAAATAACACATGTATCTCATCACATGCGTGCGTGCGCGCGCGCATAAGGCTGCGTAAACCGCACGTACCGCACTTCCCAATCCACGATGTCCTCATTTTCACCAAGGAAAGCTCTCCTTTGCTACGATCGTTACGACCCCTCGTATTTAACCTAACCGCACTTGGGTAATGCCCGAATCTCGTTTCGTGCCAGGTCCACTGCACTCAACAATCATTCTACCCCAAATTACGATCGTTTCATAAGGAAGCGTGAGCTAATAGTTCACCAACCGCTATCATCCACGCGTTTCGCAATTAAGGGTTGATTGTCATAGCCACTGCGACGATCGAGGAAACGTGAACACGCCCTTGAGGGTAAGAGACGAGCAACGGGGAGGTCTGGGAAAACCTATCGAAGAGCGATTGTTGTCCTCCCGTCGATTGATCTCCGTTCCGGCTGGGCAGAATCGATGAAAGGTGTGTGGTGGGATGGGGGTTGGGGGCGACGACAACGACAACGACGATGATGAGCTTTCCTAAATCGAGAAAACGGCAAGTGAATGAAGGGAGTGGAACGGGCAGGATCAGCCTCGTTTTCCGCTTCCTCTCCTCTACACCGACCGCGGCGACTCATCGAACACTTTGCAGATTCGTATTTCAATATAATGCGCGTGCGCTCGTTTAATATTGCGTCGATTCATCCAATTGGCCAAGTCGAATGGGTTTTTGCATCGCTCCGCTCCTTTTATTCTTCTTTATCGGTTAATTAAATTTAATGCTCTATGGTGGATCGAGACGATAGGAGCAGTTTCGTGCTTTTTTACTTGGATTTTTATCTCTCGCTCCCGCTCTCTCTCTCTCTCTCTCTCTCTCTCTCTCTATTCAGATATCTCGTTCAGCGGAAAAATAGTCGTAATTTTATATGGATACATTTTAGCGAGCTAAGCATAACGAATGAAAACCGGTCTTGTGGCACAGTCTCTCCCTCCCAATACATTTGGATAGGAAAATAGGTTTACTTTTATTGTTCACCGCGGCCGACTTTTATTAAGAAACATCCGTGAAAAATTAGTGCACTCATAGTAAATCTCTGCTTGCCTTCTCTTTCTCTCTCTCTCTCTCTCTCTCTCAGACAGGGGCATAATTATTTTGATATCAATAGGCAGAGTCGAGTGCGATGATCGATTGTGAGAGAGGGCGCTACATAGAACTGAGCGTGAAAGCTCTCGATCGTCACCGGTGCCGCGTCGAGAACGTTGTTGTTAGAGTGCGAGCTTATAATTAAGAGGGCCGCTGTCGAGCCTTTGTTACCGGTTTGCTCAGCGTCAGCTTCGTGTCGCCGTCGCCCCCGCGTTGGGACGAACAAAGGCCGAGTCCTCCCACCCAATTAACGAGCTTCCGCATTTTCTCGTGATTGCAGGCCTGCTGAGAGTCGGCCGCCCCGAGGATGCTCGAGACCGATCTGTGAGAGATATCCTCGCCGACGCCGCCATGAAGATAGGGGAGGGGGTGGCACGTCGACCTGGGCAGCAACGAGAGCCTCGTAGGTCAGCAACATCTCCAAGAACCTACCTGGGGGCGACGTTCGCGCCAAGGAGCGAGTCTCCTCGTCGCGCTCTCCACCTTCTTCGTCTTGCATTGGGAGAGACGTCGTGAAAGTGAATGGGAGACTACTGTTTTGCAGCGGCGTGAGCAAGAGTTAAAGTGTGCGGCTACGTGTACAGAGTGTTAAGTAAACATCTCGTAAAATAGTATATCGAAAATACTCTTGTAAATACTCGGGGCTTGTAGGAGGGATGGGGAGGTGAAGGGTCGCGCGCGCGCGCGTATATATATATATATATATATATATATATATATATATATATGCGGCAGAGCAATGGCAAAGATGAAGGAGCAAGAAAACTCTGGACGTGGGAGGAGATGGGCCGCGTTGGTCTCTACGGGATAACAGAAGTTCAGGATTAATCTCGTGCCGAAAACGAGGGTTCGGTAAGTATCGAAGATTATAGCTGGACTTCCCGGAGACTACTGGGATGAATGGCTGCGGCGCATACGACGCATTCGATTGCGCCCAACCAGTGCTGCCGAGATGTTGGGAAATGTCGGGAAATGTCGGGAAATGTCGGGAGCGTGTGATGAAGACGAAAAGAAATTGCATAATACCAAGGATATGGAAAGGTTTGGGATGGGGTGGGAGGTATGGGCGCCGTCGTCGATCCTGTCCTTTTTTTACATTGGTATAGATGACCGAGCCTAATTTCCCTGATGAATGTTACAGTGGTGTGGAATTGGTAAAGGAAGTGTAAGTGCTTGCGGTGTCGTAGACTCGTAGACTCGACGACCGATATTGTACACGGAATATGCTATTTTATGTTTATGATCTTTTATGTAGCTTATGCGAGAGCATAAAACGTTGCCGCTACACTCTCGATCGCTATGTGGACGGAAGCATAAATTGCGTTTAAGGAACTTTTGTTGGATGGATGTGAGTGAGACGGCTACGCGATGGCTTTTATAAGCGACGATATTTGGTTGCTTCCTGGCACTTATATATGTTGTCTTTTATTGCGACCCATTGAAGTAAATTTGAGCGATTTGGTTTTATTTGGGCGAAATGGTGCGTAGCGTCGTTGACGATTGATGATAAGTCGATTTTATTTATAAGAAGTAGTAGGGACTTTTTTAATGCGTGCCTAATGTTTATATTCTAAAAAAAGTGAAGGAGAGTTGCGATTTTGTAAATGTAGAGGAAAATGAGTCGAGAGGATAAATTTAAGAATTTTTATTATTTATTTTTCGATAATACTGTAATGGGAATGGGAGGCCAAATGTCCGCGTCAAAAGCTATTGAAAGGAAAGTGTGCGTTTACATTTCTCAAAATAGATCAACTTTCAATGAAAATATCTTAAAAGCATAGAAGCAAGAACAATCAATTTAGGGCGAATGGCGCTCGGAATGCATATTAAAAGATATCTATTACCTTCAATTCTCGATTGATTATATCTATAAATTATTATAATAATTCATAAAATAAATCAATAGCTAAATAAAACAAGCAAACAATCGAACGAACGAACGAACGAACGAACGAACAAATAAATAAATAAATAAATACACGCGCGCGCGCTCGTAAGCACGTGTACGTATATACATAAATGTATATACGTATGTCAGTGTTTGCGCATGTGCGTGTAGGCGCACGCCTCGTGTACGTGCATGTATGTATATGGATGTTTCCCAATTAAATATTATAAATAATTGAATTTATCTTGATGAACTATTTCGCTCTTTTGGATCCGTTGAGATAAAAATATATAAATAATTAACTGTAAGAGCCGCCTTTGATAGAGAGAATTTAAAAGAAATGTTGTTTACATAGTTAATGAAAGATCTCTTCAGTGTGTTCAACACTCGCTAATAACTTGGTGAAAAATCGCACACTCCTGATATTGTGATACGCTACGTTCACTTTCTGTCGAACTTTTTATATACAATTGTAAGCTAAATGATTAGTTGTAAGTATTGTAGCCTCGAAAGTAACATCAAAATTTACCGAACTCATGGTCAACATCCTTGACCGTCATTCACGCGCACTTTATTAAAGTATCTTAAACCACTGTGATTCAACTGTCACGGAACAATTAACTTCTTACTCATTGATTTATAAACGATATTAACATCGTTTCATGAATAAACTACATTGACAATATTTGACAAAAATTACTATTGGATTTTCCTTAGCATTTAATGACATTTTGTATTGAGTAAATAAAGTAAAAAGTTAAATAATCGACTTGTCTCACCTGTGAAATAACTTTTCTATTTATTCGTTTAAGTTGTATTCTGTATAGTAATAGATTACTTATGCGCTATAATATCAAGTTCATTGTTATTATTATTAAGATTATCATCCTCATTATTATTATTATTATTATTATTATTATTATTATTATTATTATTATTATTGTCTGTGGAGAATCTAAAAATTCTAAATATAATTTGGATTGTATTTTAAGAAAACAATGTTTAAAACTACTGCGCGTGTTTTGTAACTGAATTAAAGAATTGTATAATAATTGAATGGAAATCTGTCGAAAATCTTTTAAGCGCTCATGTTGTTGTCTGGTGTTGTTGTAAAAAAAATCTTACGATATTTCGTATAAAAAAAAATATTCACCGATATATTGATCGGTCGTCAATTGTTAAAAAGAGGGCAAATTCAATTTTTATTGCAATTTCTCCATTACAATTTCTCTTGTACAATGAGTCGTAACTAATGCCCCGTTCGTTAATGTTGCTAATCGCGCTATTTGCTTAACTATAAATGAGGAGAAGGCGTTATTACTACTACGTATTAACGAAGCCAATGAACGTGGTGATTTTGCGCATTATTCTCGTAAACAAAATCAGCAAAAATCAACCTTACGCATGGCGGATTGTATCCTGTTGAAATTTTCGTGAAAATAGGCGAGCGATCGATCGATGCTTAAGCTCCCGAGGATATATATAATTCAAATATAAGCGGACAATTCGTATGAAATTTCAATCCGAAATTTCTTATCAATACCAATGAACAAGTTGCTCCGGGCCTTTCCTTACTAATTGTTATCAAATAATAACACAACTAAACAAATAAAGTTTGATAAAATTGTATATAAGCGTCGGAATATCAATGAGCTGGAAAAGCCTTTCAAATGAATTTGTAATAACAAAAAGAGAAATGAAAAAAACGAATTGGAAACGCAATTTATTTTAGAATAGGACAAAAGACGCGCATTCGATAAGCCAGTTAAAAAGTAAAGTAGATAAGCAATTGAAACTCATAACGGCTGTACGGCTCCTGCGAGACCATATAGTTGCTTTATCTACTTAAAAAGCGATAAAATATTGTAGTTACTATGCGAAAGCTACGAAATATGTATCCGACAAAGTCGCAGCTGTACGAAGCTTTTCGATGAGAGAGAAATATAAATAACGCGAAACAGCGTTATTTCGTGCATGTAGTATGTGTGTTTCCAGTCCTCGATTAACCCCGGCAAATTTTCAACTTTAATAATAATGAAACGGGAGGAGCTGGAATATAAAAATGCGAAAATTCTTAAACGACGATTGTTTCGATGCTCTTCATTCTTTATCCATTTGACGAATATCAGAAATTATTTACAATCATCTTACGCTCATCGTCGTCGTCGTCATCATCATCATCATCATCATCATCATCATCATCATCATCATCATCATCGTCGTCGTCATCGTCATCGTCGTCGTCATTAATATTATTATTATTATTATTATTATTATTATTATTATTATTGTAATCATTTTTACTATTACTGCTATTGTTCGACAAATATCATTTATGAAAAATTCGGCAATTTTGTTTATAATTTGTAAATTCTGCGATAACGTGTTTTCAATACTATTATTCTGCATTGTAATAATTATTATTAGGAGAACCGACTGTAACATGAATTATAAAATAAACTCTATATTCTACCAGTAGGAAACCTTAGTTATTATTTTTGTTTTTTCTCGACTGATTATTTGTCAACCTTATTGGCCGAACCTTATTCCTCCGAATTGGATCGACACACGACATTTGCGCGACAGTGACAAGGAATCAAGCACGATACTACACATTCTCAATTTCAATTGCTTATATTGTAAAATACATTTTTACGTACAGTATTAAAAAGTCATCTCCACTCATTCATTTAACTACAGCTTCACATAATCGCGCAACTTACGACTTAATGAACAAAATTTATAACTGGACAACATTATTTTATCTTCGGCAAAAGTAACTCCGAAAAGTCTCGAATAATCTCGCGACTGCGAGCGTATCATTGGACGAATTCAATATAATATGTTATTCAATAGATCAACTAATTTAGCCACGTAGCCATCTTTAATCGTCGTCACTGCCGTTCTCCTCGGCGGCATCATCGGCCTCCTCGTCGTTCTCCTCGCCGCTTCCCGACTCCTCTTCCTCCGAGCCCGACTTGGACTCGTCGTCCGAGTCCTTAAGTGCTTTGCTCTTGGGATGCTTCTTTGGTCGGCCGGCTTCGAAGTCGGAGCATTCCTCATCGGACGAGTAAATATTCGAAGTTACTGAAAAAATCCAACGGTCACAATATGTCGTCTCGATGAAAAATCCATCATCCATATAACATTCGCTAAACATTCACATCAATTCTCCAATATTCCACAAATACTTTACACTCGTCGTTAACACCTATTCACTGAATTCAATACCTACCCTACCCCTCCACAAATTCCAATGTCAGCGCCGTGAATCTCGGGCGCGCGAATTCACAAATACACGCACCAAAAAGACAAAAAGAAAAAAGAGAAGAAAAGCTAAACTGAACAACGTGGCTACTTACGTTTTGACATGCCTCCGCTCGCCGCGGCCTTCTTGTACTTGTTCTTTATGGCAGCTAGTGATATGGCATTTTCGTCGTCCGAACCCTCGTCGTGATAAGTGTCGTTTCCGTAATTAGCGGCCGCGCGATTCGAGCCTCTGCCGCCGCCACTCGACTTTTTCGGCTTACTTTGCACGCGCATCGCCATACGCAGTTTCTCCTCCTCTTTCTGCAAGCACATTTATTTTATCGGAATTTTTTTCTTTGCTTCTTTTTTTCTTTTGTTCATTTAACGGCGATGGTGTTGCCTTGTACAATAACGACGGATGATCATGACAAAGGCTTTACGGTATACCTCTTGCGAGGAAAATACCTTCTTCATAATATTCAAACATTCAAAGCGATACAAAAAACAAAACAAAACAAAACAAAACAAACAAATAAATAAAACAAAAGACAAAGCAATAAAAAAAAAAACTATAATAATAATACAAGGGATTTTGTTGTATTTCAAAAGTTTAGGCCATTAGGCTTTGCGTAATGTGCATTATTTCACGCTGTCCAGGCTGACGTCTCGAGCACAACAACATCTCAATGTTATTATTATACTATCGTAAGATAATTTTCGAATTACATGTCACAGAGGAGCTTGCTAATCTTATACGATAAGTAATTTTCGATTTATAGAGCTCCATTGGCCTCGAGTCTTGCACTTGCATCGACTTTGAAGGCAAAGAGACAATTGTCGCTACAACCGTCATTGGCTATTATAAAAGTTGAAATATTGTACTCACGGCCCGCAAACTCCAGGCTTAAAGTAACAATGGCGAGTTAGGTTAATGCCATTGACGAGCATTCGATTCGACTAAGTTGTATTAGCTTTTTTTAACCAATTTAAATTAAAAATACCAATGACATCTAAGCTAACGTGATTTTTGTTTGACAAGTTTTAATTTAACTCCCGTGTTTATGTGACA